TTATTACTTACAAAATCAAATATATTTACTTTAATATATATATAATTTTCTTAAAATAAATTATAACAATATTTTTTATAAATATTACTTTTCATTATTTAAAGACTTTATAGATTTTAATTATAAAACAATCTATATTAGACTTTTTTTTATAGAATTCTTTAGTAAGATTTATAAATAGAATTTTTATGTATAAGTATTTTTTTAACAAATTAATAATTTTAATTTATAAACTTTATACATTATAATATATTTTTTATTTTCTATAGCTTAGACTATCTATGAAATATTATAATTTATTCTAATTTTATTTAAACATTTTTTACGCCTAATAATAAGTCTTAGAGGATTAATCTCTAATTACTAATTATATAAAATAATACTTACTTATTTTCATATATAAATTAGTTTTTATTAGAAATTATAATTTTTGTGAATTTATTTTGCATAAGTCTTAAGATCTTTTTAGTATATTATAATATTATTAAAATAAATAATTATAAAATAATCTAAATATTTTATAAAGAATTTATAAATTCTTAAACCTTATAAATATATCAATAAATTTAAAAGATATAATTAAATATTCAAATAAGCTATACTTTATTTAGAAAATTATTTTTTATTTATAATTCTTTATAATTTATATTCTATAATAAATCTTGTAAATGTTAAATTAAATAAATTAAAATATTTCCATAAATTAATAAAGATATATATTAATTTATAGAAGTAAATATTTATTGTTAATAATTTTGTTATTTAATTTATAATAATTGATATATACTTATAAATCTTTATTCTTTTTTTATAAAAAGAACTAATATTATAATAAATAATTTTAAGTATTAAATTTATATTTATATATAATATTTTTATAAATATTCTCAGAGTATTTTATACTCTACAGTAGAGTGGCTATATCTAATTATTATATCTTAACCTAATTTTAACTATAATCTGACAGTTAGATTAAGATATAAGAATTCTCTTAACTATATAGTTAAGAATAGATTAAAATTAAGAAATTACTTTAATTAATCTTAATTATAGATTGAAAAGATTAGATATAATCAGAAGATAAATAATTATTGATTAATTAATAATTTATATAAACTCTTTATAAATATAATATATCAGAAATAATATATTATTAATTATTATATTATCAAAAGAAGATATTAATTAGATTAGTTAAAAATTATTAATTTTTTTTATTTTCTAACTAATAGCCAGTAGTCTAGTAGATTTTATATTAGACTTTTATAAATAATACTGGAAATCTGAATATAATATAATTAGATTATTAAAAGAAATATATATATTATTATTTAAATTATTTCTTATATTATTCCGATTAAGAATTATAATAATAAAGAGATAATATAGCTTAAATATCTATTTATATCTAAATATATATAATATTATTAAATTAAGAAGAAGTTTAATTTTCTTTTAATAATATTTTTTTCTTAGAATTATTATTAAAATGATTTATATTCTTATTCTTATTAATATAGAAGATTATTATTAATTTATTATTTTTTTCATTCTTAGTTATAAATATAATAAAATCTAAAATAAAATTTATAAGAATATTTCAATATTTATTAGTAATTACAAACTAATTAATATATATTTAAAATATAAATATTTTAATAGTCTTAGAATACACATAGCTGCAGTAATAACAATAAATATTTTAAAAATTATTAAAAAGTTATTTAATACTAATATTATTAGTTATAATAATTAGAAAGTTTCTAATTATATAATAAAAAATAAAAAACTAATTATAATAAGATTTTTAATAAATAAGAATATCAGAGTAATTAGTAATTTCTAGATAATTATTAATATAAGAATAACAATAAAAATTATTAATTTAATATTCTAGTTTTTAATAGTTTATATATTTTTAATACTAAGATAGATCTTAAGCTTTTTAAATATTATTATAAAAAATGAGAGCTTTTAATATTTTAAAATATTATAAAACATAAGAGCTTTTAATATTTTAAAATATTATAAAAAATAAGGGCTTTTAATATTTTAAAATATTATAAAAAATCTTATCCAGATTTAAGTATATATTAAAGATTATAAATAATATATTAATAATAGAATTTTACTAACAGTAAAAATAAAAGATCTTTTTAAAAATAATATAATATTTAAAATATTAATTAATATTATTATCTAGTCAGGTGATCTTCTAAAATATTTTTAGTTTTAATATAAAGTCTAGAATAATTTTAATTATATAAATATAATTTCTAATCTAATAAATCTAATAATAATATTTATAAAGCTTTTAATATATATTCTTTAAATTCTGAAATATTCTTTTCAAAATATTTGCTTCTATACCAGTTAATTAATTAATTAATTAAGATAATTAAAAATATTATTATAAATATTATAAATCTTGTAAATTGTAGATCTACTATTCTCTATTAAATAGAAAAAAAATATAAAAGTTTAAGTAGATATTATAACTCCTTTTATTTTATTAGAATAAGATAAAAATAAATAATATTATTATAATTTCAGTACTGTATAAAACTCTTGAAAGCTGATTATAATTTATATATATATTAGATTATAAAATAGATTAAGTTTTATTAGATTTTATAATAAGAAAACAGTATACTAAAACAGACTTTAATTATTAAATAAATTAAAATTTCTTTTAGTATTAAAAATTTATATTTATAAATTATATAATCTTTCAAATCTATTATTAAAAATTAGAATAATAAAAACAAATATTCGATAGATATATAAAAATTATCTATAAAAACCTTTTATAAATTATTTCTAAAGAATTTTATAAAAGGATTTTATAAAAGAATTTTATAAATAATTTTTAGAGAATTCTATAGAAGACCTTTATAAATAACTTTTAGAGAATTCTATAGAAGTCTTTTATAAATAATTTTTAATATATATATTTTTAATTATTTAAGAAATATCAGTGAAGATTTTAAGTCTTTTATTATTATTTTTTTATATATATTTAACAGCTTTATTAACAGTCTTAATTAAAAGTTTTTAAAGAAAAATATTAATAGAAAGCTGAATAATATAAATAAGACAGAAAATAGAATACTAGCTTCGAATAATCTTTATAAAATTAGAGTTTACTAAAATATTATAAAAATAAATATTCTAATTAAATTAAGCCCAGAGTTTTATTATAATATTATTAAATATAATATTATTATTACTAATATTACTAATAATTATACTTAATAATTAATAAATAAGTTTATACTTTTATGGAATTTTTAAAATAATTTTAATTAGACTTTTATTAATATAAAACTTTAATACTAATTAAAAATATAACAGAATCTTATAATAATATATATTCTTTATTAGAAAGTATTTAATTAAAATTTGAAATGTTTTTTAATCTGAATTAGTCTAATAGTTAATTATAATTAATATATATCTATTACCTAAAGATTTTAATGATAATTAAATATATATCTTCAATATCTTTAAGAAATATTCTTTAATTTATATTTTATAAATTATTTCTTACTAGAATATTTTCTTTTCTTTTTAATTTTATTTTTTAAGTTATTAGAATATTAATCTTTTTTTTAATAATAATGTTTTATTATATAATCTTTTTCTTTATAATTAAAATAAATTATATATTTTTTTTTAAAAATTAGATATTTTAGATCTCTTTTTTTTATTAATACTTTTTAAGTTTTTATTATATTATTATAATTATCTATATAATTTATAAGATAATCCAAAATTAGAAAAATATTTAAATTAATTATTATATTTCTAAAATTAATATATTTATTTAATAAATTATTAAGATATTATATAATAAAGAGATTATTAAGATTTAGTACTTTTTTTTTTATAAATATTAATTAATTATTAATATAATTTTTTAATTTTAAGAAATATTTTTTTTTTAATATAATTAAAATTTTTTTAATTAACTAGCTTTAGCAGTTATTATACTTTTAAGATTTTAAAAAATCTTATATAAATTTTTTATAAATATTATTATATTTTTTTAATATATTTAAATTTCTTAATAATTAAGACTATACTTTTAGTAAGTCTTATTTAGATTATTATTCTAATTTTTATATTAATCTTATATTATTTAATATATAATATAGTAAATTTATTCAGAATCTCTCTAAAAATCTTATTATAAAATTTAATTATTTATTAGATAAATTATAAGTATAATTATTATTTTATTAAATAAAACTAATATTAAGTATTTTTTTTAATTAATTTATTAATTTTAAACTTTTTTATTTTAATATCAGAGTTTAGAATTAATCTTCTTATTACTAGCTTTGACTTTATAATTAGAATATTTTAATAATTTAAGATTAATTATTAAGAATATACTGGCTGATAATATTTATAGAAATAAATTAAGAATTAAATATATAAATAAAAAAATTAGATAATTTATATAAAATATTAAGCTAATATAAATCTTTTAAAATATAAGATTTAAAATAATTTAATAAATCAGTAACTTCAGGCTTATAATTAATAAAATAAATTTTTAAAGATATAAAAACTTTTAGATATTTTATTTATATATAATTTAAAATATAAATATAAAATACTAGTAATAAATAAAATAAATATTTTTAATATTATAATATTAATATTCTAGATATTTAATAATTTCTATCTAATAATTACTAATAGATTTTTTTTAAGAATTTACTAGTTTATATACTTACTTAGCTAAAGACAGAATAATCATATTTTATTCTTAGTAAGCCAGAGATAGAACAATCTTCTATCTGTAAACCTAGTTGCATCATATCAGTAGCACATGTATGGGGACTGTTCCACATGACCTATAAAAAAAGTTTGCGTGACCTGTATTCACACTGCTCACTGCTGACCGCCCTGGCAGTATCTTAGTAATAGTCTGTACGGAGTTTTCTCTGTATCTTAGATCCATACAATGTAGAATACTGTAATTGGATATACTTAAAGTCAATGTTTTACTCCGTACGGTGAGGGGTTTATCATGGCTCCGGCTCCCCCTTTTCTATTACTCTCCCCCATGATAGCGACCACGGAGTACAAGCCCATTTGTGTGATTATGTATGGTAACTATGCTCCTCTAGTGCATGCTTCTTGTTCCTTACAAACTTCAGTTGCTCTAATTTATAGACCCTGGCCTGATTAAGGATATACTATCTGATCTCCTTGACTTGCTTGTATGACCTATCTAAGGTAGGTAGTACTGAGCTCTCATGTCACCTTTGGGTTTCGCCTCTCTCTATCTTCTTACCCTATTAGGCCAAAAGTTAATTCTCTGTCTAGGACATTGAGGTTTGAGCAGTTTATTCTATTTGAACCTCAAGTTTTGAAAGCACAGCACGGTATGTTCTGAACTAAAATCTTCAAGTAAACATCCCCGGACTCGCCTAAAGACCACAGCTAATACAAAGTTTCCCCAGAATTTAATCATCTTTCAAGGTTATTATTTCATAGATGCCATCTGCTTAACATGCACCTGGACTAACCGGAAACTGCCATGCAACATCTATTCAGAGAGAAACGATGTACATTTCTCACTCCAGTGCTTCTGATTCATATCAGCTATAACTTTTATATCCCGAAACAATTTCCTTAAAGAAAAAACAAGGATAGGTCCTGTAAGGTTTGTTCTAGCTTGTGAAACTGGCCTGACATACATGGTTGAGCTGAATAAGGACATATCCCTTTAGTTCACCCATCTATATTGTTTCCATTCTCTGTGGAATACTATCTCAGGTAATGAATTTTCTGACAAAGGTACTTTTCTCGCCATTGCAAGAGGTACCTGTCTACGGAACCTCTTTTTCGAACACAGTCACAATCTCATCAATGATAACAACATATGGAAACCTAAGAGTTGATTGATTGCCCATCCCATCACCCACTTGGGACAGTGCTTACGAAGGGCTTTTTAACTCCGGCAGCTTTGAAAACTGATCCTGGGCCTATTCACAAAAACCCATCATTGTGTTTATCTGATCATATCTCAGAGGCCATGTCTAATATACAAGATTCAGATTTTGCAGGCTATTCTCCCAGACTTGGTTCAATAACACCCACAATAGCAACATCTGCATTGTCACAGTCTGAGATATTAGCTAGAATGGACAATAATAACATCCGCGAGGGACTCGGCAGTTTGAATCGTTGGTCACAGTCAACGGTATCTAGCAGCAGTTCGCCAGAAAATCATCATCACTTCGCTGGATCCATGTCTAGGTCACATTCTCCTTCTGCTAATTATAGCGCCCCCAACAATAAGAATATTGATAACCCTCCGGAGAGTTACGTGACTCGTGAAACGGGATCACATTATTACTGTCAAGCTACGAAAATGTCGAATAATAGTGACCAGTCGCCCCCCTCCCTGTCTTTGGCCACATCTAGCCATGAAGATAACTCTGCACCCGACCTATCTGACCTATCTGGGGTGCTGTCAACATTTTCAGTCGGCATTCTCACAGCAACCCCGGTGCAACCCGGCGCGGCATCTCCTGATTCTACCAAAATGTCTCCTAGCCTATTTCAGAATCCTTGGATGAAGGGCCGCATTTCGGGTTCCAGTTTAGAGCTTCAGACTGGAGCTCTGCCAGCTTGCTCAGGTTTAGAGACACACAGCCCGCGGGCACAGAAATCTGAAGCTGCAAACGAGGAGAGTCCAATCTTAGTTTCCGGGAAGGGTCGAGGCCAGGAGAGAAGACGGGGTCAGTCCCAAAAAGTAATGCTTTCAAAAGCGTTGCAGAAAGCGAACACGGCAGTGCTCCTTGATAACGCGGCAAATTTTGAAGGCGCTATGGAGGCTTACAATGATGCGTGTCAACTGCTTCAATTGGTAATGCTTCGGAGCGATGGCGGTGAAGATGAGAAACTAAAGCTCCAGGAGATAGTGAGTCTTCAAATTGACTTGAAACTTTCCTTATTCTAGGGGCTAAATTCCTCAGCGCGATACCTATATGGTTCGAGTCAACGAGCTTCAACGTATGGACTTTTCCTTTCACGACTTGGATAGTAAAGCTCTCCCCGAACGCCCGCTCAGCCAGGAGTCTTATGGTGAGTCGTATCATCCGATATACGATGGGGAAAATGAGACATCATCTGCGGATGAATTTGCCTGTTTCAAGCGCAAGTCTGGCGCTCGACCAATCGATCAGCCACAACGTCAATCACTACTTCCATCGCTCTTAGGTGACTATAGACAGGATGCAGCAGACTTATCGGAATTCAACATTCACTCTCGGTCCCAATCTGTCTCCCGAGACGGGTGCATGGGCACTCCTGTGGGGCCAGAACTTCGAGCCTTGGAAGGGGACCCATCTTATGATGCCGGCGGCCACTGCGATTTATGCTTATCGAGTAATCATGCTAGGGATGCCAACGAATCGACCTCTTGGCTAGACACTATTGATGAATCTGGTGCTTCTTCCTCAGCCTCTACGTACTCAGAAACGTTGTCTATTCATCTACGGCATGGAAAAAGCCGTCGTCCAACCGTTGGTACCGAGGCCGAGTTTGATGCCGCCCTTGATGCTGCCGTGGAGGCTGCATATGATGAAGGCCTAGAACCAGCAATCGACTCGGACAATAATCACGATAGCAATGACGTTATAGCCAACGCTCGAAGAAATGTCGAAATGGCGAAGCAGAAAGTAAGGGAAGCCGAACGGGAAGCAGAGTTGGCCCTAGCACGTGGACGCGAAATACGACATCTGCAAGACCAGACATTACTGGACAGCGCAAGTGGGCTAGACTCAGATTATCTAGATGAAGAGGCGGAAGAGGAGGAGCGATTGTTGGAAGAAATGACCAAAGGCTATATCATGGATGACTTTGAATTCGGTATACAGTCCAAGTCCGCCCTTCCTCGTCAGTCAAGCTTGAACAGCTTCTCGGGCAGGATGTGGGAGAGCCCAAGTGCCTCCAACGCTATGAAAGCCAGTGCAAATCTATCCACTCTGGCGGAAGATGGCATCATTTCTCTAGCCGATGAAAGGGTTATTGATTATGGCATATCACAATCTCAAAAACGTGACACTTCACCGCCTCCGATGAAATCTACGCATGACCCAGTTTCAGTGTCAGGGGTACGAGCAAGAAGAATGTCAGCTCAGCACACTGAATTAAAGATTGAAACAAACACCCATGTCAACAGTCACATCAATACTCCTATGCACGGGGACCCTTTAAGCCTCCAACCTCCACCAGTTCCCAAAGATGATCTAGCGCCAAGCTCTTCTACCACTCACTTGAGTAGATCATTGGGTCCTCCTTCAGCGTTACGATCAATTATTCACACCAGGAAACAAAATGCCTCGATCGGGTCTTTTACGGAAGACACTCTGACGAATTTCAATTTAGAAAAGGTCCTTTTACAAAATGATAGCGGCGAGGGGCTACCAAAAGATTCATCTCCAACGCGCCATATCGGTAAAGTGCCTTCAGCACCGGACAATTTGGGCAAGCTCAATGCAGGTCCGGTGCCCTCGTGGATGAGAAATGTGCCAGTTTCGGGACCCGAACTGGCTTCTGAGTCTCCGAATACCCCATCAGGCAATACATTTCCCCCCGGGTTGGACACACATAAAGGGCCGATAACTGCCTCAGTACCTATATTGCCCACACCAACTGGAAATAGTATATCTGCAAATGGTTTACCAAGTGGAGGACTTAAGTTATTTGATAGCCACATTCATTCGCCAACTCGTCCGGGATCTCCCAACTTGATGGCAGCTGACCCCCCTGTTCCGTTGGAGCCATGCCCCGAGTCATTCCTTCTGCGTCCTTTTTGGCTAATGCGATGTATCCGCCAGACAATCACGCATCCCCGTGGAGGTTATTTGTCGACAAAGCTTTTTATTCCACGGGAGGTATGGCGCGTTAAAAATGTGAAGATTAAGGCAGTTGAAGAGAAGGTGTCAAATTGCGACTTACTAACAGCAGCATTACTCAAATTGGCGAAGGTCGACGCCTACGATGCTGACGCCATTTTGGAAGAAATGCAATCCCTGGAGAGTGTCCTTGATCAGGTGCAGATGTCACTGTCAAAGAAGATAGGGAGTGAAGTCGGTGTGCAGGGCGCCGTGCCACTATTTAAATCAACTCAAGCTTCTGATGATGCAGCAGCCATGGATATCCTGCCTTCGAAATCTTCCAATGGGCCAAGCAAATCATACCTGACATCCTGGCGCAAGTTGCGTTCAAAAAATTCGGGTCTTGGCGCTGCCACTTCACTGCCCATGTCGAAGGAACCCAGTAAAGACAATTTAACCATAAACACCATCCCGATGACATCCTTGCCTATTTCACATCCTGTAAGGCACAGTTCGTTGCCATTGCAATACAACAGTCCCAATAACTACATGGGAGCCCTAGCCCGGCTTTGCGATGCGGCTCAAGTATTGGGTAAGCATGTCTGTCTCCTTTGTCTTTGATCACTTCAGCAGAATTAATCCCAGCTTACTTTAACTAGATCAAATAGCTCAACAGGTTGAAGACCCGGGTCTCAAGCATTCCTCCCCTACGCTTGTGGGCCTGGAATTGAGCACACGTCACGCCGCGGAGTTCTTTGGATTCTATGTATGTCGGTTTGCTCTAAACGATATTGGCATGATGCTTGATAAGTTCATCAAAAGGGGCAGTGAGTGGGTACTTGTCTAACTATCTTCTTTGTCACATGTGCCTTTTCTTCTTTTCACACCTCAGGCATACCAATTCACCCCTGTATATCCAATGCCTACCTCTAAAATAGCCTTACCCATGGAAATCGACAACGGCTTTCCTCCTTAGAGGTCATCATCATACTGTAGGAACCAGTATTGATGTAAACATATACAAATACCACATAACGCGAATCTCAAAAGAACTCATACTTCTGAATCTTGTCTCTAATTACTACATATTATCCCCAGGCTAATTGGATATTTACTCGGGGCTGTTAACCAAATGCTAGGGCCCCAAGCTTATTTGGCTCCAGACCTAAGGCATATCTGTCGCCTCTTTTCCGAGTCACGAATTATCTCCACAGAGCGCTTGAGGCTTGGTGCAAGCCGTGCATACCTTACAATCTCTGTTATGACCTTGGATATGATATTATCCAATTCGAATGCTTGGAGGCAACAATGTTGAAAGTCCCCGTGACAAGGTTGCTCCCATTATGAATAGCATCTGTGAGACCAGAGAAACGGCCCCTTGCCAAAGGTAAGGTAGGTGGCATTCACGGTGGCTTTTAATATCGTCAAGCTGGCTCAATGCCGCCTCCAAGCAGCGATTGCAACAGTCTTTTACTCTGGAATTAGCGAATGATCATTATGGAATGCCGCCAAAGCGTAAGTCCAGTAAATAATTGTGCGACAGGCGAAATATCGAAGCCTTAATACTGTCTGAACGGGGCCGGAAGCTTCGGCCCTGGATAAGGGGAACTGAATCAGTTGAGGAAGACCCACGTACCATTGAGAAAGCTGGAAATCCAGCTCCGAAGCAATTGGTCATAGTGAGGCAAGGGTCAAGGTACTGTCTTTCTGATAAACGCCATGACTGACCCGGTTAAGTAGTCGTCTCAAAGCGATTTCGGCCAAGAAATGCCAGAGCTCATCACGACTGACCACCATGCTGATATGTTTGTCTCCCGTGTGTAGGTTAAGCCCTTCCCCGTCCTCCCACCCTTCGTCATCGTCGTCTTGTTCAAATCCCCTAGGAAGCTTAATGAGCTCTTCAAATAGCACTATTCCTGAATGCAGCAGATCTAGCTCCGCTAGTAGATCGCTTTCAAACAGGAGCGTGTTCCAGTACACTCTCGTACCGAGTTCCTTCCATTGGATGGGAACCAGAGAGTGTTTTCCGACTAACACCTGCAACTTCAAGCTGGTGTTCGAAAGCAAAGTCCAGGCTTCTAGAGGCCTGGCCAGATAGTAGAGATAAGCCGACGCAAGGATTACGCATTGAGCCGCAAGAACGGAGTTGCGTATCATAATAGCAGGCAAAAGGTTCCAAGCAGCAACAAAATATGACAGTCCGGGTGCTTCTTTATATGGAGACTGACATGATATGCTTCCATGATGACTTGAATGGCCTAGTGTCAGCACCAAAAGGACAACACAGCTTTCTGGTCCTTCCTGTAAATTTCTATAGAGATGGAGCTGTGATGTAGTACCGAAACCAAGTCTGCCGGTTCACACCGGCGTACCAAACACTGACGTTTTCGAAAAAGGCCCGTATGTAAATTGATGCATCTGTCAAAACTATCTCCTTTCGGGATTCGATTTGGAGCGGTTCACGAGACAGTTCGAGTCTAGAAGGATATAGGGATCTATCAACTCCTAGAATGATAAAATAAAGAAGATCTGATTCTATAATACTGCTGCGCAAGTAGAGTGGCTATATCTAACTGTTATATCTTAACCTAATCTTAACTATAATCTAATAATTAGATTAAGATATAAGAATTCTCTTAACTATATAATTAAGAATAGATTAAGATTAAGACTTTATTTTAATTAATCTTAATTATAAATTAGAAAGATTAGATATAATCAGAAGATTAATAATTATTAATTAATTAATAATTTATAGAGACTCTTTATAAATATTAGAGTGCCTATAGCTAATTATTATATCTTAACCTAATTTTAACTATAATATAATAATTAGATTAAAATATAAGAATTCTTTTAATTATATAATTAAGAATAGATTAAGATTAAAACATTATTTTAATTAATATTAACTGCAGTTTAAAAAATCAGATATAATTAGAAAATTAATAATTATTAATTAATTAATAATTTATATAAACTTTTTATAGATATAAATATAATATATTAGAAATAATATATTTTTAATTATTATATTATCAAGATAAAATATTATTTAAATTAATTAATTATTATTATTTTTTTTATTTTCTAGCTAATAATTAATAGTCTAGTAAATTTTATATTAGATTTTTATAAATAATACTAGAAGTCTAAATATAATAAGATTAAATTATTAAAAGAAAATATATAAATTATTATTTAAGTTATTTTTTATATTATTTTAATGAATAATTATAATATAATAAAAAGATTATATAACTTAAATATCTATATATATCTAAATTGTTAGGGGAATGATTGAATTAAGCTAATCCAATGATTGGCTGTTGGTACAGAAGAAATTAATAAAGAAGAAAAAAAAAGAAAAAAATAAGAATATTTAAATTATATTCTTTTATCTCTTCTTATACAGTACTATTTCTTACTTTATTTAATTATTTATTTAATTATAATATACTAAATAAAATATTTGCGCAGGTTTTATTAAGTCTTTAAGATTTAAAGAATTTATATAAGAATTTTATAATAATATTTCTTTTTTTATTTTATATATATTCTATTTTATTTATAAATAGCTTTAAGATTTTTAATATATATATTATCTCTATTATATAAAGAATATATCTCTTATAAATAATAATTCTTTAATTTTTTATTATTTTTAAATATAGTTCTATAAATAATCCAATATTTTTATATTATTTTTATTAAGTTTTCTTCTATTTTTTTTATATATATTAATATATTCTTGTAATCTCTGCAACTATAATTAAAAAAATTAAATCTAAAAATATATCTACTATAGCTCTTTCTTATTTTTTATAGAATTTTTTTAAATCTATCTAGATTAATCTATATATAAATAAGCTTATTATATTTATTCATAAATCTTTATAAAAAAAGAGTAAGTATATCACTATATATTTTATAACTAGAGTGGCTTAATCTAACTATTATATCTTAATCTTAATCTGGCCATAATTTAGTAATTAGATTAAGATATAATTATTATTATAATTATTTATATTTATTAATTAAAAAGATTAGATATAGCAGATAGATTAATAATTATAGATTAATTTATAATATATATATTCTTCTTATATAAATAACATATAAAATATAATATATATTTAATTATAGTATAAATATAATAATATTTTTTAAATATAGTCTACTGCTTAATCTATTTAATTAATTATCTTAAAAAATATAATTATATTATATTCTAAAAAAAGCTTTTACAGAATTTAATATAGAAGAAATAAGAAAAGATATAAAATATTTATTTTTTATATTATTTAAAATAATAATTATAATAGTATAAAAATTATAAAAATCAGATTTTTATTTTTATCTAAATATATATAATAATTAAAGACTTAGATAAGACTAGTTCTTTTAATTCTAATAATAATTTATTCTCTAAATTATCTTTAAGATTATCTATATTTTTATTTTTATTAATATAAAAAATAATAATTATCTTATTCTTTTCTTATTTCTTAAATATAAAAATAATTAAATCTAAATTAAGATTATTAAGTATATTCTAATATTTTTTATTTATAATAAAATAATTAATATATATTTAAAGTATAATTACTTTAATTATATTAAAATAAAAATAATTTTAATAATAATAATAAATATTTTAAAAATTATTAAAAAAATATTTAATACTAATATTATTAATTATAATTAAAAAAAAATCTTTAATTATTTAATAAAAAATAAAAAACTAATTATAGTAGAATTTTTAATAAATAAAAATATTAATATATTCTATAATATCTAAAATTATATTAATTTAATTAAAAATATTTTAAAAAGCTATATATTTTTAATATTTAGATATATCTTAAATTCTTTATATATCTTAGCTGTAGATAAGAGTTTCTAATATTTAAAAATATTATAAAAAATTTTATCTAGATTTAATAATAATTTAAAGACTATTAATAATATATTAATTATTAGATTTTAATTATAATAAAAAGAGAATATCTTTTTAAAAATAATTTAATATTTATAATATTAGTTAATATTATTATCTAATTATATATTTTTTTAAACTTTTTAAGTTTTAATATTAAGTTTAGAATAATTATAAATATATAGATATAATCTTTTATCTAATAAATATAATAATAATATATTTAAAATTTTTAATATATATTATATAAGCTCTTAAGAATCTTTTTTTTTAAAATATTCACTTATTTTTTAGTTTATTAATTAAATAATTTAGATAATTAAAAAGATTATTATAAATATTATAAATTTTATAAATAATAGATCTATTATTCTCAGAGAGATAAAAAATAAAAAAAAAATATATAGAAACTTAAGAAAATATTTTATTTATTTTTATTTAATTATAATAAAATAAAGATAATTAGTATTATTATATTTATAATACTAAATAAAATTTTTAATTATTTAATAAAAATTAAGTATTTAATAAATTATAAGATAGATTAAGTTTTAGTAGATTTTATAATTAAAAAAAAGATAATAAACTAAATTAGATTTAAATTATTAAATAAATAAAAATGTTTTATAATATTAAGAACTTATATTTATAAATTATATAATTTTTTAAATTTATAATTAAGAATTAGTAGAGTGGCTTAACCTGATTATTATATCTTAATCTTAATCTGGCCATAATCTGATAATTAGATTAAGATATAAAAGATTTTTAATTATATAATTAAGATTAAATTAAGATATAATTATTATTATAATTATTTATATCTGCTAGTTAAAAAAATCAGATATAATAAATAAATTAATAATTATAAATTAATTTATAATATATATATTTTTTTTATATAAATAATATATAAAATATAATATATATTTAATTATAATATAAATATAATAATATTCTTTAAATATAGTCTACTGCTTAATCTGCTTAATTAATTATTTTAAAAAATATATTATATTTTAAAAATAGCCTTTTACAGAATCTAATATAAAAAAATAAAAAAAAATATAGAATATTTATTTTTTATATTATTTAAAATAATAATTATAATAATATAAAAATTATAAAAACTAGATTTTCATTTTTATTTAAATATATATAATAATTAAAAACTTAAATAAGACTAATTTTTTTAATTTGAATAATAATTAGAGTGGCTTAACCTGATTATTATATCTTAATCTTAACCTGGCCATAATCTGACAGTCAGATTAAAATATAAAAAATTTTTAATTATATAGTTAAGATTAGATTAAGATATAATTATTATTATAATTATTTATATCTATTAATTAAAAAGATTAGATATAGCAGATAGATTAATAATTATAGATTAATTTATAATATATATATTCTTCTTATATAGATAATATATAAAGTATAATATATATTTAATTATAATATAAATATAATAATATTCTTTAAATATAGTCTATTACTTAATCTGCTTAATTAATTATCTTAAGAGATATATTATATTCTAAAAAAGACTTTTATAGAATCTAGTATAAAAGAAATAAAAAAAATATAAAATATTTATTCTTTATACTATCTGGAATAATAATTATAATAATATAAAAATTATAAAGACTAGATTTTTATCTTTATCTAAATATATATAATAATTAAAGACTTAGATAAGACTAGTTCTTTTAATTCTAATAATAATTTATTCTCTAAATTATCTTTAAGATTATCTATATTTTTATTTTTATTAATATAAAAAATAGTAATTATCTTATTCTTTTTTTATTTCTTAAATATAAAGATAATTAAATTTAAATTAAAATTATTAAATATATTCTAATATTTCTTATTTATAATAAAATAATTAATATATATTTAAAGTATAACTACTTTAATTATATTAAAATTAAGATAACTCTGATAATAATAATAGATATCTTAAAA